AGAGGGCAGTTGTAAATGTTCTACCTAAATGAAGCTATTTATTTAAATCCATCTAGATTTCCTTTGAAGTGTCATACATCTCTCTCCTGCTGTATCAGCTTATAGCTACAATAATTTAATAAGTTTTTCCTAGGGTGAAATTGGATGCCCTTTATCGATCTTGCACCGAGGGGGCATTCAATTACTTCATCTACGGCGGTATTTCTAGGCCTCTCAATGACGATTTTGTTATAAATGGCTTGCTGATGATGCTTGGGGTGCATAGGTTAATGGGGGCATCCCAGCCAGGGCCCGGGAATTGAACGCTTTCTATTCTGGGACCGGATATCTGATCTCCCGCGGCGGGGCCCAGTTCCCACACTTACAGTCTGCATCCCCAGCGCCCAGCGTTGAGCCCCGGGCCGGGCGGCAAGCTCCCTGAAATGCATCCCTGAGCTCTTGGGTTTACACCTGAATGGGAGCGCCAGGAGTCCTGTCTGACCCGAGGCCACTGGCACCAAACGTGGGCGTGTTCCAGACAGACGAAGCGCCGGCGGCGAGTGTGGCTCAGTTTCTAAGGCTGAACGACCGGGGGGGTCTGAAGGGACAGTTTGTGGCCGAGGGAAAGGCCAGGTCAGGGTCTTCCCTTCGACAGAGTCCCCATGAATTGGGGTGTTCTTCACTGAGCTAGGCCAATAGTTACACATATTGCAAAGGTCCTTTTGGGGGAACTCGCAGTGTGGCGTGCATCCCTTTTGCCCTTGGGCACACCCCAGTCCTACCTCTGGCCGTTCCAGACCCTCCCTTACACAGTCTGGCCCCTACCGCCCCTCCCATCGGGGCCTTCTGTCCCACCTGCCCGATAGCCCAGGGTTCAGCCCTCCCCGTGGTCGGTCCTCAAAGGCTGCCATCTCCAGGTTCTGTCCTTCATGGGGTCTTTACTTTTGCGTCTGGCTTTGTGGTGGTCACTCGGATGTCCCTCCTAACCCAGGTCTTCCAGGCCGTCCTGTCTCCTGCACCTGCTCCTCTCCAGCAGCTGCTCCAGGGGGTGGGGTGGACGGCGGGGATGCTGCCCCACACCCCACAGCCCACACGGGGCGGCTCCGAATGATGAGGGATCACCGGCCCTCGTGAGGCACCGAGAACCTCCACACAAACGGCTTTCTCGTATCCTCTTCCCTTTCAGTTTTCTTCTTAACCCTCCTTGGCATCTCAGTGACGATCTTACTCATTGTGACTTTTCTACCGTCTCTGGCCCCAGCTGCTGGTGGGACATAGGCTCCAGGTGGGAAGAGGGCTGCCCGTCGGGGTCCCGCCGGCGCCACCCTGGGTGTAGGACGCGGGTTGGCTCTGTTCTTACAAGGGCGCCGGCCGTGGGTTCACCGGGTCGTCTGACTGTTTTTAGTGGATGTTACCAAGGTGGATTTTATATACTATATACACTGGCTGTATGTTTCGGTAACACTTGGAAAAAGTGAGAAAGTTTAAAATTCTTTTCGCAAAGAGGGTCGCCCCCACCCCGGGGTGTTTTCCCGTACCAGCGAGCTCTCCAGCCCTCCGACTCCAGCCGGGGGTCCGGCCGTCCCGTCCAGTTCCGCCCCGACGCCCACCACTGGGAGTCAGGCCAGAGCCCCCCTGGCTCTGCGGCCCCGTCCCCCGAGGCTGCCTGCACCTCAGACGCCAGCCGCCAGGGCTGGGTCCCCAGCCCCCCCACACTTCTGTCTGACTTGGCAGCACGCTCAGAGGTCCCCCCACCCCCACGTGCTCCTCGGGACTGACGATTGGCTAGAACAGTGCACAGGACTCGGGAAGTGCCTTCCTCCCTTCCCGCGATCAGTTTGTTCCGAAGGACACAACTGAGGAGGAGCCGGACGGAGGAGACGCAGGGGGCAAGGGGAGCGGGGAGGGGCCCTCGGCGTCCATGCCCTCTCTGGGGGGCCCCCTCCCTGCACCTCCAGGCTCACCAGCTCGCAAGCTCTCCGAGTCCTGTTGTTTAGGGTTTTTTATGGAGCTTCCGTTGTGTGGGCATGACTGATCAAACCTTTGACATTGACGATGAACTCAGCCTGCGGTTTCGCTCCTCTCTTTGGAGGTTGGAGGGGCCGGGCTGAAAGCTCTAAGTTTTTGATCAAGGCTCGGGCTTCTGGTGACCATCCCCACCCTGAAGCCATCTGCCCCCCCCGCCCTGAGTCACCTCATTGGCACAAACTCAGGTGTGTTGAAAGGGACTTAGGATGAATAATGATCTAGCACTCAGGACATTGCAAGGGTTTTTAGGAGGAGTGTGCGAGAAACAAAGACCAAATACTAATTTTTGCATGACGTCACCCCTGCCCCCGCTTGTGTGGGCTCCAGGCCCCCCAGACCTGGGTCGGCATCCTCAGCGGCGCCCCGGACACACCGGGCCTTCCGAAGGGATCCGGTGAACAGAGAGAGAACGAACGAATCAGGGATAAATCCCAGGGCACCGAGAATTATTGTTTTCTTTTCTCCCTCCCTCTCTCTCTCTCTTTTTAAAAGATTTTATTTATTTATTTTTAGAGAGGGAAAGGAGGGAGAGAGAGAGAGAGAGAGAGAAACATCCATGTGCGGTTGCTGGGGGTCATGGCCTGCAACCCAGGCATGTGCCCTGGCTGGGAATCGAACCTGCGACACTTTGGTTCGCAGCCCGCGCTCCATCCACTGAGCTGCGCCAGCCAGGGCCTTTTCTTTTCTCTTGAGGGCCCCGAAGTCACCTGGAATTGTCTCCCCAGTTCTCAGCGCCCCTTCTTATGCTTACGCAGTGAGAGGTGGAGGGGCGGGAACAGCCGGGCCAGGGGGCAAACGCTCCGCCCAGCGACGCGCTGCTGACTCGGTCCACTTCTCCGTCTACCCCGAGGTTTACGGATCCACTTGGCTTGTAAGGAGAAGCCTTTGTTCTCGATCAGGAATGTTCTGCCCGTTCTGTTGGGTCCAGATACTGCACATCCTTGCCTGGGGCTTCAGAGGCCTCGTTTCCTTTAAGGAAGAAGAAGAAGTCCACTGGGCCTCGTCCAGCCAGAGAGACGGAGAGCGGGAACTCGCTCCCCACCGAGACCCTGGCCGGAGCCTTGTCCTCGGCGTGGGAGACGATGTTTTCTTGGCTCAGGGACGGGGCTGCCAAGTCAGGGGGCTTGCCCTTTTGTTTCTGTGGTTTGGAAGAATGGTTTGTACCCAGAGAGAAGAGGTCAGGGGCGGCTGACAAGGTTGAAGCAGAGCTTGGCGCTCTCGGGGGGTTGCGGGGGGGGTGCAGGGTGGGGGTGGGGCCTGAGATGTCACCCAGCTCTGGGGCGGCTTGTCCTGCAGCTCCCCCCACGCCTCTGCTCCTCGCAGAGCTGTCCGACCCCATCTCGGCCTCCGCTGGCCAGCATCTCTCACGCTGGCCCCGTGAGACCGAGGCGAGGAATTCCGCGGCCGGTCACGTCTCGGGAATTCTGTGTCATACAGTTCTCTCCCCTCCCGGGCATCCACAGGGCTTAGGAGCGGGGTTTCAAGGCCCCGAGAAGCCCTGGTGTAAAGAAGCCTGTAACTGTGTCCCTTCCACCTTTCCCCCAGTCACCGACGCACGGAGCACTCAGCGACACGGTGCAGAGCGCCGTGTGGGGGGCGCCGGAGGACACACCGCTTGGCTATTTCTTGGTCAGCGGGTGTGGATGGGATGCGGGCCTTCGGTCCAGGGGAACCGCACGGTTCTGCTAGCGAGTTCTGATCGCTCGGGCCTTCCGCCAGAATGAGGAGGCTCGGATGCAGGGTTAGCTAGTTCGACCTCCTCCGGGGACAGGCTGTGCGTGCGGAGTTGGAGTGTGCCCCTCGCCCTTGGGTAGGGAGCGCGCTAAGAAAAAACGGTGCGGTGGGGTCTCCCATTTCGGGCTCCGTTTCAAGTGTTCTGGGCATCCGCTGACAATTTAAAAATCGTAGCAGGAACAGGCATCGATGATGTTAGTAGTGTGAGTGTTACCCACCCTTTGGGGGATGCTAAAGATGTGTAGACTTTGTGCCAACTCTTCCCATGCGCTAATTTCATGCTTTTACAGAGTTATCAGGGAGGTTCTCCTACCCTCGTTTTACTGGTGAGCAAACCAGAGCTCAGAGAGGTTATGTGGCTTGCGGAAGGTCACACAGCTAGGCAGTGGTGGTCTGCCACAGCTGGGAACTAAGTAGGTCTCGGTTTTGCGCGTGCGCGCGCGCTCTCTCTCTCTCTCTCTCTCTCTCTCTCTCTCTCTCATAACATCTACAAAGAAGCATCATCTGAGCAATAATACATTTTATAACCACAGGATTCTATTAATGGATTTTTAAGAATCATGTTTTTCCCAGGATGATGAAAGTAAAAAATTATTTCAGGGTCTGAGGAGTTATGCCGCACAAGGGAATACTGCACATTGGATTTAATTGCTTAATAACTTAAAGTCAAGTGGTTTTTTATGTGATCCACACTCTACTGGATACTGGAGAGGAGAATCATTTCAGTCTCTCTAAGTTTTCATTAACTTTTGCTTCCTGAGCTGGTAATAAAGGTTAGCTCTAGGGAAAGAGTATTAGGGCTGCCAGGGAGAGCGAAAGCATTTTCCCCTCTGCCTGCTCCCACCCTCGCCGTCCTCCTTTGCAGATTTTTATTTGACTTCAAAGCGCCGCTATTTCAAATTCATCTCTCAAGTTCACGGTCACCGGCCATTGCATGAACCTGAGAATGATGGCAACTGGGGGAACCCACTAATTGAGCTGTGTCCGGCGGAGGCACGAAAGGGTTGGAGAACTGGGCAAAAATATGAGGTGTTTGACGTGGTGCCGGCGCTGCTGGCGTTGGGGGTACGTTTGCTGGCAGAAATTGAACCCCAGAGCCAGGCACCGAGGCCGTGAACCCTTCCTTTACGCTATATAACTTTCTCTGACTTGTCTGTGACTCGGCAAGCTTTGGCTCATGCTTAGAAGTTCTCCAATAACCCCTGGGTCACTGCTATTATCAGACAATGTAATAAAAAGGTCTTTCCTTTGTCGTTTAGGTAATCGGTCAGCTTAAAGATTTTTCTGCCCCCCGAGGAGGACGCATTTCAAGGGAACACGGGATGTGAGAGTGGAACCTTCCCGGGCGCCCCCATGGCCGGCCAGCCGGCCCATCCCCCGCCGAGAAGACCATGACATCTGCCCATCTCCTGGGGGTTTCCCTGCGCCCCGGCGAGACGCCTTCCACTTCATCTCGTGCCATGGGAAAAACCTGAAGGGGCGGGCAGGGTGGCTCTCCAGCCTGTGGCTTTTCCCCACGGTCGCAGAGGCGCCGCTGACAGAGCATGACAGTTGGGGATCACTTCTCCCTGCTGCCTGCCCGCGTCGCACCAGGGAACGCCCGTCCTGCGTCGGTGCCCGCTCCTTCTCGTGTCTGCCGCCGGGGCCTTCACATCGCCTTCCCTAAACCCGAGACGCCCTTCACGTCTTGCAGCGCGGGGTGCGTGCCCCTGGACGCCTCGCCCATGGCTCGCCGGGCCAGCCGTGCAAGGCCATTACCATGAGGCACTGCATTAACTGCTGCATCCAGCTGTTCCCCGACGACGCGCACAGGCAGCAGGCCGGCGGCCGCACGGGCCCCCGCCCCGGTCGCCAGGAGGGCCCCGTGTGCCAGGGAGAAGACAAGATAGTGTTCTGCGTGGACGGGAGGCAGATGAACTTGCTCGCTGTCCTCGAAGTGCGGGCCGAGGGGAGCGAGAGCTGGGGCGGGCTTCTGCGCTTCCGGAAGGGGAAGCGATGCAGCCTGGTCTTCGGACTGATCATCATGACCTTGGTGATGGCCTCTTACATCCTTTCGGGGGCCCACCAGGAGCTGCTGATCGCCTCGCCGTTCCGTTACGGACCCTTCCCCAGCAACCCCGGCTGGGTGGACGGGGAGAGCCCGGCCGAGGCCAGGGAGCCTCACCACCAGCCGCCTGTCGGCAACATCTCCTACACGAAGGACTACCCGAGCATGAGGCTGATCATCAGCAGCATCGCCGCCCGCATCGAGTTCACCGCCAGGCAGCTCCCGGACCCAGACGATCTCAGGAAGCAGGAGTCGCACGTGAGTAGCCTGACGCTGATCTCTGTGGAGCGGCGGGGTTTTAAGCAGTGGAGGCTTCCTCTTCTGTCCCCATCTCCAGGGAAAATGCCTCCAGTGTAACAGGGGTCATTTGACATCCTTGCGGACCAGGGCGCACCGGGGAGAATGCTGTCGGTTGACAATGTTGACGCCAAGAAGGGAGCAGGTGGCACGAAAGGCTGCAGCCAGAAATGCCAAAGGATGACCTACCTCCTGATCCCGCTGCTGCACTTCATGTTGGAGACATCCTTGTGGCGGTTAAAGCCGCTTTTATAGATCCCCATCGCCCAGCTTCTCCTCCTCTGTCCTGATTAGTGTTTGTGTCTCTGATGGCCATGAAATACACAACCAGGAAAAAAGGTTCCTACTGTGTAATTAGGCTGTCTGTCATGCGAGCGTGCGTGTGCCCAAGATAAACCGTGGCAGGATGAATTTCGATCCGTCCTTTACCTTCCTTCTTCCCAAAGTTTATTTTTATTTTGGGATGAGAAAAACTCACGGTCACTGGCTATCGACCCAGTCTCGCGTGCCGTTGGCATTTCGTCGCTGTCGGGGGATACCTCAAGCTCGAACGTGGGCGTTGAGCGTCAGAGCAGAACCCCGCGGCGGTCCGAACGTGTGAGGGCTCACGCCTCCCCTCCGGGCGTCTCCCCGTTTTTTCTCTCCTGCTGCAGATGTTCTCAGTCATCCCGAATAAATTCCTTCCCAACAGCAAGAGCCCGTGCTGGTACGAGGAGTTCGCGGGCCGGAACACCACCGACCCCTACCTGACCAACTCCTACGCGCTCTACTCCAAGCGCTTCCGCTCCACCTTCGACGCGCTGCGCAAGGCCTTCTGGCGCCACCTGTCCCACGCCGGGGGCAGGCACTACCGCCTGCGCTGCCTGCCCGGCTTCTACATCATCGGGCAGCCCAAGTGCGGCACCACCGACCTGTACGACCGCCTGCGGCTGCACCCCGAGGTGAAGTTCTCCGCCATCAAGGAGCCACACTGGTGGACAAGGAAGCGCTTCGGTGCGTGAGAGCGTGGTCCCCGCCACCGCCGGGGGAGGGGGCCCCTACCCCGATGGGTAGCCCCAGGCTTCTGCCTCCATCACTCACTCCTGCCTTCTGCTCGCTGAGGTCACTGGGGTCGGGGTGGGAGCCAGAGAGGGCCTGCTCTGGGCCAGGAGCTGTGCTGGGGCCCGGGACCGGGGGCTGGGGAGATGAGAAAACCTGGAGACACGGAGATCAGATCACTCCTTTGCCTGCGGTCCCAGGCAAACACCCGGCGGGCTGCAGCCCAGCTCCCCTCCACCCACAGAGCACTGCTGAGCGCCAGCTGTGTGCGGGGCAAGGGGCAGGGTGCAGAGTTGGCAGCTCATCTTACCCCCAAAGAGCCCGAGAGACAGGTGCCTGGCAGACATGGGCCCGGGGCTGTCTGCTCCCAGCCCTGAGCCTGTGCCACGGGCCCCTGCCCTGGGAGGAGGAGACCGTGGAAGGAAAGGCGGGCGCGTGGGCCAGGTTCCGCTCCCTCTGGCTCGGCCAAGGGCCCATCAGTGTGCCGGGCTGCTGCTCTGTTCTCTCACACCTGCCCCACCTGTCTCGGGGCTGGGAATGAAAACCATGTGGACACGACTCTCGCTGACTCGGCTCACGCCACCCCTCTTTCCCACGGGGCTGACCACGGACCCGGGAACACAGCCCGGTTTCCGCCCCACCCAGCCGGGCCACCCCGCGGCCCTCGGGTCACTGTTTCCGCTCCTTAACCTTTTCCCTCTGCCAGGAGACAGCTGGTCACCGGGGCTCAGGGAAGACAAACGCCCAAGTCTGCGGAGGCCAGAGGGCGGTTTCCTGGTACAGGACCAGCTTGCGGAGAAGGGAATGTTAAAAGTTTCCCTTAGCGGAGCCCAGGTTTAGACCAACGCTCCGTGGGTTTTCTGACAAACCATCGACTTACCCCTTTTGCTGTTCCTTGAAGGGGACACGTGTATAAATGTGGTTTTTGGCGTTTGGCAGCGGCAGCCGTGGGAGCCAGGGTGTCACGTCCATGCTCCCCCTTTCCTAACGAACACGGGGTCCCCCCCGGCAGGGAAGAGGGAAGCCCGGGCCGTGCCTCTGGAATCCGCACCCAGGGTGACCTTGAACCTCTTGTTTTGTCCATGGGCATCCTCTTATACGTCCCATTAGCCTTGGTAGCTGTGCTTTAGGATGGCGTGTGGTTATGTGGTTGACAAACCTGCGAGTGAAATGTACCCACGTTTAAGGCCGGGGACCAGGGGAAGCCGCACAGGGCCGCTGCCAGGATAACTCGCGTTCAACCCGAGCTCCGGCCGGGGGCCACTGGTACTCCTTACGGTTCGGGCAGACGGGCCACGGGATCTCACAGGCCAGGGGAGCAATGTTCAGCCTTTTTCATCTCACGACGCCTGTGAGCTAATTGCTAACATTCTGCAGCCCAGCAACACATAGATACAGTTTGCCGACCTGACGAAGAAACAGGTATAATGTGCATTCGTTCGCACTGGACGGCTACTGCTGTGTTGGCCGTTGCCGTTTTTCAGTGTGAGCCCCTGAGGGGGAGCGAGGCCCGCACCCCCCACACTGAGCGAGCGGCACACAGGCCGGAAACCGCGGGGCCAGGAGACAGAGCCACAGGCGCGGGTGTCCTTTCCTGGCTGACGTGCTGCGTGCGTCCCGGAGACCACCGCTGTCCAGGCACCGCGGGGTCTCACCCTGTGCGCGTGTGTTAACCGGCCCCCAGTTCTGCAGCCCTCCAAGCAGGCGTGTTTCTCGTTCTTGAGCAGCTGTGACACCCTTTTAGTTGCCACTGTTCAGCCTAACCGTGGTGCACGTCACCCCTGAGGCTAACGGGTTAAAAGAGGGCAGCCCGTCTACCTGCTGCCCCTCCCTTGGCTGCTGCAGCCAGCCTGTGGGTCCCTCTCGGCCCCTGCCCGGGAGGCCACCAGCCCAGCAGGGGCGGCGTGGTCCCCAGTAACTCCCACTTCTCGGTTCTCGTAGGAATCGTTCGCCTGCGAGACGGGCTGCGGGACCGCTACCCCGTGGAGGACTACCTGGACCTCTTCGACCTGGCCGCGCACCAGATCCACCAAGGGCTGCAGGCCGGCTCTGCCCAGGAGCCCGGCAAGATGAGCAGAATCATGATCGGTACGGCCTCCTCCGCAGAGCTCCCGCGGGGCGCCCCTCCCGCCCCGGCCCAGGGCCCAGGCCCAGCTCTGCTCCGCCCGCTGGACGTGTGCAGGACACCTGCCCAGCATGCCCTCCCCACCTGGCCGTCACGCTTACCCTTCCAGAACACGTTCACCTGCACGGTTTCTAGGAAGCAGAAACGTCAGTAGACTTCTCTAGTTCCACGGAGACTCAAGGGCACCTGAAATGGCTTTTTTTTTTTTAAAGTTGCCATTTGTTTGTTTTTATTTTCACTAAGCACACGTGCGTCTTTAAATGATAAGCCAATCTCGGTCTGGGTGGGGGATCCTGAGTCAGTGAACCCATGGGCGTGGCTGTGTAAGCCCTGGCTGCTGGAAGCCGTGAGGTCAGAGGTGCCCCCCCCGCCCCCGAGAGACTCACCGCCCTCACTCGCCGTGGCTGACTGATTGCTGTGGGGAAAGCGCAGCCCCGGTCACCCTAACGCCTTTCGGTGTCCGAAACCAGGGGGTTCGATGAGTGACTGTTCCTTTAATTTGCAAGAATGTTTTATTAAAAGTGCATCTGCTTGCCCTTTGTCTTGGGCTCTGCTCAGGAGAAGACATCTGTCCCCTGTGTCTCCTGAACGAGACAAGCCTAATTGCCCGTTTTGCTTAAATTGGCAGGCAACCACGTTTTAAAATTTTCCGAAAGGTAGTGCGTTTTGATTCTCCAAATTCAGTGACTCCGTTAGCAACTAGGGGGAATTGTATCAACCGTTTGAAAGATGACCTTTTACTTACAACTTTCTCGTCCAAGGTGCCTGAGCTCTGAATTTATTTTTTGTTTAAATTTTAGCTCAAAACCAAGTCCTGGGAGCATGTGAGATCACTCCCCTCACCACTCACCACTCGCCCCCTGCAAGTGTACACTGGCTACTAGTTATATTTTTGCAAACTTGGGGTCCATACACTCCAAACCCCAAATCCAATTAATATTTGACAGTGGCCCCGCATGCCTCTGGAAAAATCTCATTTTCTTATGAAAGAGCTAGAAATGCGCATCCCAGGGCCAGGGAAGGGAGACTAAGATAGTGAATGAAAAAGGGAAGCCTCAGTTTAGTTTCCTAATTTCATTCCCATCCAGATTTAAAAAGGAAGGAGAAGGACAAATGTGCTGCTCCGATATTTACCCAAAGCCGAGTGTGGCGAGCTCTACGGCCGTGGGGAGGCCGGAGCAGAGCCGGCGTCCGGCCCTGCCTGTGCCACCGACCTGCCCTGTGCCGTGTGCCAAGCCCCTTGTCCTGGCCCTGGCCTCAGTCTGCACGGCTGTCAAATGGGCTTGGGGGGCCACATCCGTTCTGGGCTCCTCCCAGCCCCGAACATGATTCAGCTCTGCTCTAGCTTCCTCCGGGTAGATCCTTGGCAGGACCGTAAGGGTCTTCCTTCATCTCAGCCCACAGGGCCGGCCAGACGGGGCCTTTCCTCAGTGGTCTGGGCTAGTGGCCGGACTCACGAAGTGAGAACTCCCGTGGCCGGGTTCTCCAGAGCTGGGGCTCCAGACACGTGGAGGGGTGCCTGCCTCTGTCCTCCTGGCCCCTGCTCCGCCCCATCAGAGTGCACTGTCGGGGGGGGGGGGCTCCAATTGCTTATTGAATTGTTGGTTTTCGTCCAGACTGTATGGTTCGGGAGAGGACGGGGCTATCTGTCTGGTTTCCCTGATCTATCCCCAATGGCAGGTACAGTGCCAGGCATATATTAGATACCAAATGAATGCTTTCTGGATGGATGGATGGATGAAGGATGGATGGATGGGTGGACGGACAGGTGGATAGACAAAAGCTCCTCTGGTTGAGCAACCAGTTTATTCATGAGCTATGACAGAGTTTGTGCCAACTTAGGTTTCGATACTTGCCCTTTCCTAACCATCCCTTATTCACCAGGGGTGGAATTTTCACGTTGGAAATTCTACTTGTCTTTTCTGTATTCTTCAGCATTTCTCATAAAAAAAATTGAAAGAAAAAGAAAGACCAGAATAGAAACCCTCCCCTGGGTGTGGTTGCACCTCCAAAGGGCCAGAGGGTCCTGCTCAGCCGTGGTGCTGCCGTGCCGTGCTCACCACTGGTCGGCGAGACCGAGGCTGTTGGCGCAGGCTTTTCCTGCACAAGTGACTTTGAAATGTGTCGTAGACACATCCGTGCAAAATGGAAATGCAGCACATAATTGATTTTCCTTTCTTTCCAAAATGCTGAAGATTGCCCTGCCCTGCCCCTCAAAAAAAAAAAAACAACGGTCAGGGAATTGGTTCAGGGTTCCGAGGGAGAGATGCTGAAATGTCCGTGCTGGCCTCGCCCCGTCCTCGAACATTTGACATTGTCGAATACCCCATTTGCGCAGAGCGTGGTAAACGGGACTGAGCACCACCTTCTGCTCCCGAGGGCTGGGCTGGGTGGGTGCGGCTGTGGGGGGTGCGGACACGCTGGACACAGGGCCTGAGGCTGAGGTCCTGGGAGGTGCCCCCTGCCCCCCCCGAACCTCCCCCTTGTGTGTTTCTGGGTGCTCGCCTGTGAGACTTCAAGGCCAGGCCGACCTGATTGCACCCCGTTTCCTGATGAGCATAGGCCTCCCCAGCCACCTCTCCACCCCTGATGCTTCTGGGAAAAAACCGTCTAGCACATTCTCAGTGGGCCCTTAAAATGCCGCAGGGCTGTGCACCGTGTCCCGGAGAGCGGAGCTGGAGGGGGCGTGCCCAGCATTGCCGGGGCCACCTTGATTTCCAGACAGAGGCCCTCGTGGAGAGGAGCACTGTGGCGGTTGGGGGGCGGGGTGTCTCAGCCTGCACTTCCCAGAGACCAGGCTGCCGGCGTGGCGGACCGGCTCGCGCCCTCAAGGCTGTGTGCGGGGAAGGCCTCGGAGCCAGGGCTGCCCCCCCCCGCCCGGCGTGGGCTGCCGCGTGGGAGCCCAGTACGCAGCACTGCTCACTCCCAGCGTCCTCTGCTTCCAGGGGAGGCCAGCGCCTCCACCATGTGGGACAACAACGCCTGGACCTTCTTCTACGACAACAGCTCGGACGGCGAGCCCCCCTTCCTGACGCAGGACTTCATCCACGCCTTTCAGCCGGACGCAAAGCTGATCGTCATGCTCAGGGACCCCGTGGAGAGGTGAGCCGTTCAGATGTGTACGTATTTTTGTTTATTTTTGGGGGGGTGGGGGGAGGAGGAAGAAGAGGCAGTGTTCAAAGGACAGTGTCCCTTCTCAACACAAAGAAGATTGTGCCTCTCTCTCTTTTTAAAGTAAACAAGCTTAACTTGCAATGTTAGTGCTATTTCTTATGTAAATATTATTCTTGGGGCAATCTTTGCTGTGTCTAAACAAATCGTGGATTGCTTTCTTGGCCATCCTGACCCTGGTGCCTGGTCTTTAGCCTCTGGCCCATCTGCGTGGGGAGCTGTGGGGCACTGTCAGGAAATGAGAAACGCCCCTGGAATCTCTGCGGGGTTTAACTCCTTGTCTCCCGGCTTGACGGACGGGTGCCTCTGTCCTGCGGGCTCCGAGTGGGTGGGCAACAGCTTCCCTGGAGAGACCAGCAGGAAGAAGAGTGACGGGCAGAGCTGCGGCGTCCTAAGGAACGGGGGTGGCCCGGGGTGGCCCAGGCAAAGCGGGTGTGGTATTGAACAGCGTGGGGGTGGCCCGGCCAGCGCTGGGGGGAGCTTAAATCACGGGAGACGCCTGCGGGGACGACAGACTCTCAGGGCTGCCAGGACCTCTGAGTCGTGCAGTCCGATGTTCCATGACCGACTCCACCAAAGAGGGCTCTGCGTCCCCACCCAGGATGGCCGGTCCAGCGCGGACCAGCTCTGTGGGAGCATTCTTCCCATTTTGGGGCCGAGTCTGTCTTTGGGGGGTCCGTGCACAGGACCCGTTTCTTCCCCCCTGAGCTCCGTAGACTGCATCTAGTGGTTCTGAATGGGACACCTGCCAGATACTGACGGCCGTGGCCGTGCCCTTGGTGCCTTTATTTTCCTGGTGACCTCTTGTCAGAGGTTGCATCGTGCCCTCCAAAAAGACACGTTGAACTTCTAGCCCCCCACCTCCGGATGTGTACACAGGGCCTTGTCTGTCTGGACGTAGGGTCTTTGCAGATGGACTTGGTGGAGATGAGGTCCCACTGGCCTGGCGCGGGCCCCTAATCCAGTGACTGGTGCCCTTAGGAAGAAGAGGGGACACAGATGCACGTAGGAAAGAAGGCGGTGTGAGAAGGTGTGGACTGCGGTGACGCAGCTACAATCCCAGGAATGCCGAGGGCGGGCCGCCAGCAGGCACCAGGGGCTGGGGGAGGGGCACGGCGCGGACTAGCAGACTGTGGCTGGGCGGAGCCAGCGGAGCCGGCCCCGCCTACACTTGCTTCCAGACTCCTGGCCCTCGGGACTCACAGAGAATCAGCTCCTGCGGCTACAGCCACCAGTTCGTGGTGACTAGTCGCGGCGGCCCTCAGACACAAATACAGCCCTGATCCCTTCCAAGGGGGCACACGTTCCTGGTCCCATGTCCTTGCCCATGGTGACATAAGACCGGTTGGTTGTGGGAGTTTCAGAAAATGCACTGGAAAACTGCCTTTATTTTTTTTTTATTTTTTATTTTTTAAATGATTGCTAGTTTTTTAAAAAGATTTTATTTATTTATTTTTAGAGAGGGAAGGGAGGGAGAAAGAGAGAGAGAGAGAGAAACATCCATGTGCGGTTGCTGGGGGTCATGGCCTGCAACCCAGGCCTGTGCCCTGGCTGGGAATCGAACCTGCAACACTTTGGTTCGCAGCCCGCGCTCAATCCACTGAGCTACGCCAGCCAGGAAAACTGCCTTTAAAAACACCCGTGCCCCGCACTGGGAATGCCGTTGTTTCTGCATGCTGGACTTCCGCCCAGACCGATGCGTGCGGTGCGTGTGGCCACAGTCTCACCTCTGGTCCCTCACACGTCACACTGTTGCCCCCGAGGGCCGTGCCTTAAAGTCACACCCCAGACGCCCCTCCCTGAAGCCGCTCCCCCTGCCGTGCGCTCAGACCGGCCCGCTGCTGTCAGAGTGGGCCGGTCAGAGGGGAGCTGGACGGTCCCCCTCCGTCTCTGCCGCGTGGTCCCCTTGCTGCCACGTCACCCGGCACGCCCGCCTGCCGCAGACGGCTTCCCTCGGCCCGGGTGTGTGTCTGTCCTCCGGCCTCGGGGCCTCGTCCTCTCCGGCTCCGCGGCAGCCCTGGCCCCGGAGCAGCTCCCACGTCTGCCGGCCGGTTCCCACGCTCCGAGGCCGGAGCTTGGCCCGCTGCTCCTGGCGTGGGCCGGCCCCCCTTGGTCGGGAACAGCTGACAGAAACCAGGGGGGCCCTCGGGTACACATGAGACGAAACCGTCGGCCTGGACAGGAGAGGCCTGATGACCCGCTGACCCCTCGCCGCCCTCGGAGGTGTCCTCACAGCGGCCCCGCCCCTCCCCCAGGCCACCCCCAGCTGCTGCTCTCGAGGTCGGATGTTCTGGGAGTGTGCTTTCTGCTCACTGCAGGTCTTCCTGTCACGCGCCTGTCTAGTTCCTCATTCTGAGGAAGGTCACCCAGCACTTCGACCTCAGGGGTCAGGTGAAAACTGCAGCCGGTTGTCACTCCCTGGGCACAGGGAGGGGGCAGCAGCCTGCGTCTGGGCTGGGCTCGGTGGGCGCGGCCCCGTTGTGGGCCCTGGGGGAGCGGGAGCTCGTGGCCGGCCGGGGAGACGGGCGTGGCCGTGGCTCTGGTGGTCTGCGGGTGTGGCGAGCGCAGGGGGAGAATGAGCTCCTGGTGGGAGGGAGGTCAAAAGGCCGCTCAGGAGGAGCCGAGGCCAGGCTGGGTTTTGAAGGATGAGTAGGAGTTTGCCAGTTAAACGAAGGGGGAAGGCAGTCCGGGGGGAGAAGCATCCTGAGCGGGGAGAATGGAGAGGACAAAGGGAGCGCCTCCGGCTCTGTCCCGGAGCGTGGAGCCCGCTCTCCCGTGTGTCTGTCTTCCTGCGGTTCCGATTCTGCCTCTGGGCACCTGAGCGCCGGGTGGGTGGCCCTGGCACAGGGAGGGGCGTCCCGAGGCCCAGGGTCAGAGAGCTGAGTCGGAGCAGTGCCTGCCCGTGGTCTACCCCCAGCCCCACGTCTCCCCCCTCGAGGAGGCTCACGGCCCACAAGATGGCCATTCCGAGGAGTCATCCTGCTGTCCTCTCCTTTTTCTTTTAAAGAACAAACCCTCTCTTTATACTGGGAACTGAAGGTTAAGGCTTCTTGCCTTTCTGGTCCTAGACTTCATAGAAGTGCATCATCAGTTAAAGCGTCTACTGAGCCCTGATCACACGGTGGGCACCATGCGTGGGGCTGAGTGTGCATTCGATGGCCAGCAGCAAAGGCGCCCTGGCGCCTGCCCTCCGGGAGCTGGCTGGTAGTCAGAGCGCAAGGTGTCCACCCAGTCATGCCGGGTGTCCCGGCGCCAAGGGGACGGGAGGGCGCATGGCTGCAGCCAGCGTCAGGGAGCCGGCCCCCTGCTGTGGGGGTCCCCTGCCGTGTTCATCACCTGCAGCTGCAGAACAAGTCACCCAGAAACATGGCAGCTCAGAACAGTTTGCGAGGGTCAGCCCCTGGCCCTGCTGTCTCTGGGCCTCTGCGTCAGCATCTCGTCTGTCCCGTGGCTGCCATCAGGGTGTCACCAGGGTGGGGTCTCATCCGAGAGCTGTATGGGGGAAGCATCAGCTTCCCACTCATGCGGTTGTTGGCAGAATTCAGCTCTTCGAGGGCTGTTTGGAGGGGAGGGGGCTCCGTTCTTGGCTGGCTGCTCACCGCCTTGCCCCTGGGCCTGCCAGCACGTCTGCCTGCTTCCCCAAAGCCAGCCAGAGACCAAGTTCAAAGACTCCATCCTCTGCGATCTGATCACTGGAGGGACAGCCCATCCCCTTTGCCACATTCTGTTAGTTAGAAGCAAATGACAAGGCTCAGGCCAGTCTCAAGAGGAGAGTACAGGCTGTGGATTCCAGGAAACAGGCACCCTGGGGACCTTCCTGGAAGTGCCCTGCCACCCTGGCTCTGTCCGTCCCACGCCCCTGTCCTCCAGGAACTGGGGCCTTGCAGCCAGGGAAACGCTAACAGCCAGGGTGGCACGGGGCGTCGCAGCGCAGGTCTCCGCGTGCACGGCGGCGTGCGGGTCCATGGCGGCGTGCGCGTCCGCGGTGGCGTCCGCGTGCGCGTGCGCTGCGGCGTCTGGATCCGCGGCGGCGTGCGCGTCCGCGCGCACGCCTGGTGTGGGTTCCTGACAGCAGCAGCTGTCCCGCTGCTCCTTAAACATTTGTAAGGATGTGTAACACCAGGAATGTCTTCTTTTTAGAAACCCGTGACTCATGGCCTACCCGAAGTCGCTGGCTCGGCTCCCGTCCCAGCCAGCAAGGATGATAAATATAGGGTGTTCGGGTCGCTGTTGAAGAAATGCACACTGAAGCCCAAGTTCCCACAGTCTAATTGGGTCCCGGGCCATTAGCCACGTCAGTCAGGCCGTGACCTTGCGCTTCTGCGACGGGGAGAGTCCCTGGGTTGCTTCCCTGCCGGCGGGATCGGGCCAAACCGTTTATTTCCTTTTACAAAAGGGCTCGGGGAGGAGGAGGGGGTGCTTTCATTCCTCGATTTAGATTCACCTTTACCCTTTACTTCGAACATGGATCAAAGGTAGAGGGTTTGCAAATGTTGGCATTGTTCGAGCAATTAAATCAGTCGCTTTGAAGCTTCCAGAGAAAGATGTCAGCGGTGATCCCCTTCTTTTTCCGGGGGAGAGGAGAGGACCCGTGCAGAGGACGGAACTGGGGCCCGCTCAGCGTTCTTGTGCGTTCCTCGGTGTGAGAAATAACGACAATTTAAAACGCAAGCGATGCGATCCTGCGCTACATTGCCCAGTTAATTGAAAAGAAGCCCCTAATTACAAGTGGAATTTTTCATTTAATTTGATTCCTAAGTGGAGAAGGCAGCTTTTCAAGGCTTCTCCCATCAGCCTCCTGCCTCTTCGTTTCCGAGACAGTGGACGGTGTTCGGGCCCCCAGGCGGCGGCTCTGAGAGTCCCCACAACGACGTGTGAGACTTGGCTGGGGGGTGCCGACCCCTCTGACGCGGTTCACTGAAGGGACTTTG